TTAGCCTTCAGTTACCCAATGATAAGGACATCCAGGTGTCTTTGCACATCTAGACTTTCCAACCTCTTACCATTTAAAGAAATAAACGAACATCTGTTCTTCCTACTGAAGTGGATAACCACCTATTTTTCCACATTGTATTGCATCTGCTATGTTCATGCTCAATCACTAAGCCTGTGCAAATCCTCCTGAAAACTTTCTACATCTTCCCACAGTGCACATTTCTGCTTGGCTTTGTATCATCTGCAAATTTGGAAATATTATGTTTGGTGCCCACATTCAACAGCTAGAGCAGAAGCACTGTTCCTTGCTGTACCCTCTAGTCACAGCTACCAATGTAAAACTAACCTGTTTATTCCTATCCTGTGATGCTAGTACATGCCAGTACATTATCTCCTATACAACCATGATCAACCTTTTCTAATATCCTGTGTCCTATCCATCCTGTGTCCAAGGGATCCTATCAATTCTCTTTCAGTATTGTTAATAACATCCTCAATTCCCAAAAGGATTGTCCAACACCATTTTCATTCACAAATCCATGCTGACTATGACCAATCAGGATTTTTATCCATGTGTCTATTTATCATCTCCCTTATGATGGAGAACCGCTATAGGGCAGCACGGTGGCTCAGTGGTTAGCACTGCTGCCTCACAGCACCAGGGACTTGGGTTCAATTCCAGCCTCGGGTGACTATGTGGAGTTTGCACATTCTCCCTGTGTCTGCGTGGGTTTCCTCCCACAATCCAAAGATGTGCAGAATAGGTGGATTGGCCATGCTAAATTGCCCATAGTGTTGAGGATGTGCACATTAGGTGTGTTATGGGGGGTGGGTCTGGGGTGGGATGCTCCGAGGGTCAGTTTGGACTTGTTGGGCCGAATGGCCAGTTTCCACACTGTAGGGATTCTATAAATTTTTTTTATTCTTTCATGGGATGCGAGCATCACTGGCCAGGCAGCATTCATTGCCCATCCTTAACTGCCCTCTGGGTAATTTCGAGTCAACCAAATTGTTGTGGGTTTAGAGCCACATGTAGACCAGGTATGGATGGCAGTTTCCTTCCCTAAAGGGCATTAGTGAACCAGGTGGGTTTTTCGAACAATCGACAATGGATTCATGATCATCATTAGACTCAGTTCCAGATATTTATTGAATTCTAATTCTACTTTCTAGTGATGTAAGGTTAGTGAGTTTGTAGTTCCCTGTTTTATTGTGTGGCTCCTTTCTTAAATAGTGGGGGTAACATCCAGTCTGCAGGAATCATTCCAGAACCTCTGGAAGTTTGGAGGGTGATTACCAATTCATCACACTCTGGATGAAGACTGTCAGGTCATAGGGATATCAAGTTTCACCCACTAATTCCTCCAATCTTCTTAATAATACTAACTCCCTCCAATTCCTCATTTGCTGAGGTTCCTTGAATCTCTCATTTTGGGAGTTTTCTTGCATCCTCGTCAGCAAAAATACAGTGAACAAGTAAGTTTTTTTTGTCAGGAGTTTATCTCCATAGCAAGCAGATCGCATGCATTTGTATCTCGGTGGGTTTAGTTTGTAGTCCCTTGGACTTGTTTCCAGATGTGATTTTCTACAACAACCTAACCTTCTGTCTTAAAGTAGTCCCCTTGTTTGTGAAAAATATATAGAGACAGTTTATTGCTTACCAAACAGCTTGTATCTCTATAAACAATCCTCCATTAGTACTTTTTTAATGTATCCATTTACGTACAATTGGCTAACAACATCCAGCATCTGTTTACCTTTAATGTCATCAACTACCAGCTATTTTAGATCCATCAACAGAAACTTAGTTCATTAGATTTGCCTCTTCAAATGAAAACAGACTATTCATTAAGGAAGGGGCAAAATAATACTTTTTCATGATTACATTACAAAATAATCTTTAACATATTCCATACTTCCACCATCTTAAACACTGATTTCAATAAGATTGAGAAATTAAAAATATTCATGTAACACAATTCATTATGACAGGTGTCCCTCATCAAAGACTAACTATTTAGACTAACACTTTGTTTCAAACAGTCTGATGTCTGACTTGTATCAACCTATTTTAGAATCTTCCTTTCTTTCCAACATCTTTAGTCTCAATCAATCCTCAACTTCCTTTCTGTGCCTGTCATGGTTAGAATATTTGTCCCAGAACAAACTGTTACCAATACAGCATTCTACAGGCATATTTTACCCACATTACCCTTATTTGAGAGTTCATTTACAATGTTTAATTATTACATAGCCATAATTGGTTTGTTTTACCAGCATAAATGTCCTCACTGCTAATGTGCTTTTACTTAGTCTACTTTTTGATTCTTAGGCTAATGGGTAATATTATCATTTCTTACCACTGCAAATGTAATCCTAATGGATTTGAATAGCCATTGGGGAAGATTTGCATAAGAGATGTCACTAAAAATTAGTAATTTCAACTCATAGAATGATGGAATCCTATAGTGTGGCAGCAGGCCATTCAGCTAATAGAGTCCGCACTGATCCTCCAAAAAGCATCCCATTCAGACCTACTGCCCCATCCTATCCTCGTAACCCTGCATTTTCCATGGCTATTCCATCTAGCCTGCACATCCCTGGAAACTCTTAGGCAATTTAGCGTGGCCAATTCATCTAACCTGCATGTCTTTGGACTGTGGGAGGCAACCAGAGCAAATATAGTAGACTAGATTGAATGAAGGAAGTTCAGGTGAATCGCTGCTTCACCTGGAAGATGTCTGAAGGTTTGGATAGTCAGGGATGGGGAAGTAAACAAGCAAGTGTTGCACTTTGAGATTGCATGGAAAAATTCCATGAGAGTGTGGAGGAGCTGTGGACCAAGTTATCCCAGAGGAATTCTCGGGGAGGTGATGGCCTAGTGGTATTATCACTGGACTGTTAATCCAGAGATCCAGATAATATTCTGGGGACCTGGGTTCAAATCCTGCCATGGCAGGCAGTGGAATTCAAATTCAGTAAATATCTGGAACTAAGAGTAACGATGACCCTGAATCCATTGCCAATTGTTGGAAAACCCCATCTGGTTCACTAATGTCATTTAGGGAAGGAAAGTGTCATGCTTACCTGGTCTGGCCTACATGTGAATCCAGACCCACAGCAATGTGGTTGACTCTCAACTGCCTTCTGGGCAATTAGGGATGGGCAATGAATGCTGCCTAGCCAGCGACACCCTCATCCCATGAATGAATAAAAAAAAAGTCCCTATGGAATGCCAACAAGGGAGGGGATGGTAATTTGTCTGGCAGCTTCCCACTGGAGGTGGTGGAAATGGCTTATGATCCTGGATTTGGGGGCTGGTGGGATGGAAAGGAAGGACTGGGGGACCGTATTGGTGGTGAGAAGAGAGATGTGGGAAATTGGTTGGACACAGCTGAGGGCCCTGTTAACCAAGGGTGGTATGAATCCTTAGTGAAGGAGACAGTGGGCCATGTGAGCCCCCCTCCCGTTCCCCCATGGAAGGTGACATCATAAGAACAGATGCAATGGAGACAAACTTGGAGACTGGAATGGAGTCCTTACAGGAATCAGGGTATAAGGATGTAGAGTTGTTAACTGTGGGAGCTGGTAGGTTGGTAAGGGGGATATCACTGGCCAACTTATGCCCTGAAATGGACACCGATGTTGAGGAAGGGAGGAGTCCGAAATGAACCAGGTGAAGGTGAGAACAAGTTAGAAATTGGAAGCAAATTTGATACATTTTTTTTCAGTTCTGGACAAAAAGGAAGCAGCAATGATGTTATTAATGTACTTGAGAAAGGTATGGGAGGGGCCAGAATCAGGCTGGAACAAGGAATGCTCTATGTAATCAGAGATGGGCATAGAGTTTCATGAAGGTATCCATAGCCGCATCTTTCTCCTGAAGAAAGAGGAGTTAAAGGCAAACTTGTTCGAATGGAGGACATCAGGCAGAGAACGGTGATGTACCTTGTAACATACATTTGGCATGATTCATAAACCTTGCTAGACCCATGGTGTGCATCGATTAATCCTTCATGTCTTCTGAAACGTAACTTAAAACTATAGTCATTCTGATTGGTTGCCAAGCTCTGATTTCCCCTATATTTATTGCAGTGGTCTCAAATTATTGAATTAATTTGAGATTTTTGGTTTTAAAAATGGTTTGTACCTACTCTGCACAATGTTGAAAGCCAAATTGCAAATGTTTTGGCTAAAATCTAGAATTTACAATACAAAAAGTGAATGTGTACTTAATTTATCTCCTCGATCAATTTACTTGCTCATTCAATATACCTTTCTCCCTGATGTATTTACTAACTTCTGAATAGATTCTATACTACTAACCTCTCCCAATTCATGAGAGTTAATTGACCATTGTCCCCATACTGAGTAAAGGTCTATATCTTGGAATCTTTAGTGGATATTTTTAGCAACTACCTTGTGTTTCATGTGCTTTGTTTTGGAATTTGCTTAAAATAAACAAACATTCTCCCTAAATTCCTTCATTTTGAAGATCTCTCACATCCCTCTCCGCCTTCTTTCTTCTTGATAAGAGTTTGTCTGAGCTTAGACTTTCCTGATAACTTGAACTTGAATTTAGTACCCATATTATAAAAGGTTGCTAAGCTCTACATGTACTGTGGTCTAACCAAAATTATTATGATGCACGTTATTGTATAGGTTTTGACATTAAGTCACTTCCTCCAGAAATGGCATAACAGAAAAGTCTCAAATACTCAGCCGATAAAGCAGCTTCTGTGGAGAAATGGTTTGTGTTCAGGTCAATGATATTTGATTTTTATTTTGGATTTCTGCCACTACTTTTTTCTATGGAAATGAACCATGGTGGATTTTGTTGTGGCTTTGTTTGCCTACAGTGTAACTTTTTTGTCCCACAGCCTGGACCTCTGTGCCTGAAACCAATTTTCACTTTTGTCTTCAGCTATACTTTTCATGTCTGAGAAGGTAAAAGGTTCAGCCTCAGCTTATTTTCATCTAAATTATTTGTCATTGCAGTTTACGTTGTAGAAGATCGCAGAAGGGATGACGCTGGAGATACATGCTTGACAGCATGTTGGACTGCCCTCTGCTGCTGTTGCCTTTGGGATATGTTGACCTAAAATCATGGAAATTCCCCACATGCCAGTTTTCTGCTGCTCGACCTTCAAATCGAAACTCAAATACCAACTTGCTTTTTTTTTAAAAAAAAAAAATGCCTGTTAAAGATTTCTGTTTGGTCACAATGCCACTAGCTTAGCAATTAAATAACTGGATGGCAAGTTCTGTAAGTGTGGTGCAATGTTTTACGATGGCTTGCCCAAATAATGAGCAAATGTTAATTTATGCAGAACCTTTTTTTAAACAAGCTAAATGTTCCAAAGGATTCACTTTGATACTGATGACAATAGGTGTAACGACTTTTGTTTCTGACGTGTAAAATGGATCCTATATTGTGGAACTTGAATTGCTAGAAATGGAGAAAGTTTAAAAATTACTGCATTTTAGTTATTATTCTATTGAAACTGTATATTCCACATTAAAGAGAACTTTTCAATTACTACTTATTGAATAAAGTGAATTTATGCATCAGTACTGTGATTGTCTTTTGACAGTTAAGTAAATCAAAAATAACAGCTGAACGTCAGCCAAAGAACATGAGAAATTGGAGCAGGAGTAGGCTATTTGGCTCTGCCTGCTGTACCATTCCGTATGATTGTGGCTGATCCCCTACCTTTACCTTTCTGTACTGTCCTTGTGCTATAATTCCCTTTTTTTTTTTTGTTCCTGTCAATCTGTCTTGAATTAAGACTGACCCCTCTCAAGTAGAATTTACAACCCTCCAGCCAGGAAATGTTTCTCCATTTCAGTCTTAAGTGGTCATTGAGACTAAATCCATTATTCCAACCAGAGGAAACCTCCTCCCAGCATTCACTTCATGGAGCATCACCACTATGTTTTCCTCCAAGCCACTCACCATCTTGACTGGAAATATATTGCTGTTCCTTCAGTGTCAGTTCAAAATCCCACCCTAAAAGGATTATAGATCTACATATGGCACACAGACTGCCTGGCTTCAAGAGGGCAGCTTGCTACTGGCATCAAGGGCAACCAGGGCTTAGCAATAAATGCTGGCCCAGCCAGTGATGCCCTCATCCTATGCACTTTTTTTAAAATGAAGTCACTATTCGTTCTTAAACTAGATCTATATTCATTGCAGTTTCTCTCCTCCAAAGGTTAATACCTCCCATCCAAGAAACTGTCTAATGAAATGGTTATATTCCCTAAACACTCCACTGGGGCAAATATAGCCTTCCTTGGGTAGAAAATTAAATTGTTTGCAGTCCTCCATGTGAGCTTTCACCAAGGCCCAATATAATTATCCTTTAGGACTTCCTCTTGTGCTCTAGTCCATCCAATCATTTATTAAATAAGCCAGACTGTGTGCTACTAGTTGCTCTGTGTAAACCAATTCAAGATCATCAGTCTGTGAGGTTTTAACATGCTATAAGCTACATGTGTAAATACAAGGCAAAAGGAAGTTTTATACATATTTTGGGAAAAAAAGGGGGTATGGAGACAGCCAATGACTGCTGCATACCCATGGCAACACCAATACCACTCAGAATCATCCTGCTTGATCCAAGAATTTAGATTGACAGAGAACTGTTCCTGTTATATCTCATACCAATGATGGCCGAACTAATCATCATCTGCTTCTTATGGTATCCCTTTTATTCAAATCTGTTTTGAGTCCTAGTTCTGATGAGTGCAAGATGAAAAGCTCCAACTTATCTCTTTGGAACAATATGGAAGACTAGTGTGTTTATTATAAACACAACTTGCTCTTCAAATTGCATGTTGACTTTGTGATTAATGTATAAAGATACAGTGAAAAAAATCAATACACCCCCCATTTCAATAGATGTTCTGCTTTTCTATTTCTCCTCCCACAGTGGATGACCTCATTCTCCACACATCTCTCCTTATCTAGATGACTCACTTAACCTTTCAATATTCCTTTGCATTCACTTTATCTTCCACAGAGCTTATGGTCTCATAATATATAAAAAAAGTGTATATACATTCAGGAATGTTATGACACACCTCTGGAGTAGGTAGGACTTGAATCTAGGCCTGAGAGGTAGGGATACTACCACTGTGCTATCAGAACCCTTTCATAACTTATTTCATCAGCAAAACTTGGAAATGCTACACACACTTTCCTCATTTAAGTGATTATGCAAACTGTATAATTAAAATCCATCACAGCACTCCAATAATGACAATCTGCTAACCTTGATGACCTCATTGTTCTATTTTCTGACAATTAACAAATCTTCTATTGTGCTCATATACAACCCAATTCCATGAGCATTCTTGTGCACCAAATGAATGTTATCACACAAGTTTTGAGAAATTGAAGGTATTAGATGTCCATTTAGCAGTGATGGTTAATCACAGGCATATAGTCTTGGGCCACAAAGTGCCACAAAAAATTCAATAACTTGAAGTAATCAAGGTGAGCGAATTGAACTTAAAACACTATATCCCATTAACTTCATATCAGCTTCAGCCCATACTGGATGTAACACTCCTATCATTCAGCAACAAACAAACAATCCCTCAATCATGACCTAAATGTATGCTTTACATCTACAATTCACCCTTAATACTTAGCATTTCTACAAGTCTCACATTCACATCTTCCAGCTTGAACACACTGCCAGCCATTCAGCCATAGTAGCCACAATAACCAAAGACATACAAACACATTTGCTTATGTCTTCCATCTCCCTTACAGGGAAAAGGTAGTGTATAATCAAAAACAACAAATAGCAAGACAGCATATATTTTTCCTCTCAAAGGAAATGGTGCCCGTCAACTGTGAAATGACTGTGGCCAGTGATGGAATAATCTTGATCAACTGAGTCAGTGGGCTGAGGAATGGCAGGTGGAGTTTGATGCAGATAAATGTGAGATGTTGCATTTTAGTAAGACAAACCAGGGCAGGATTTACGCAATTAATAGTAGGGCCTTGGGGACTGTTGTTGAACAGACAGCCCTAAGGGTGCAGGTGCATGGTTCCTCCAAAGTAGCGTCACAAGTATATAATGTGGTGAAGAAGACATTTAGCATGCTTTAGCAGTCAGAGCATTTAGTACAGGAGGTGGGATGTCATATTACAGCTGTGCAAGACATTGGTAAGGCTACATCTGGGAGTACTGCGTACAATTCTGGTCACCCTGCTACAGGAAGGATGTTATTAAACTGGAACAGGTGCAAAAAATGTTTACAAGGCTGTTACCAAAATTAGAAAGTCTGAATTATAAAGAGAGATTATGGGATTATGGTTGGCATGGACTGGTTGAACCCAAGGATCTGTTTCCACACTGTATGACTCTATGAGAGCTGGATAGGCAGGGACATTTTTCCCCTGGAGTGTAGGGGGCAGAGGGATGACTTTATAGAGGTTTATAAAATTGTAAGGGGCATAGATAAGGTGAATAGCCAAGCTATTTTCCCCAGGGCAAGGTAGTCCATAATTGGAGGGCATAGGTTCAAGATGAGAGGGGAAAGATTTAAAATAAACCTGAGGGGCAACTTATTCACACAGAGGATGATGCATTTATGGAACAAATTCCTAGGGGAAGGGGTAGATGTGGATACAATTACAACATTTAAAAGACATTTAGACGGGTACATGGATAGGAAAGGTTTAAAGGTATATGCGCTAAATGCAAACAAATGGAATTAGTTCAGTTCAGGAAAGCTGGTCATCATGGACAACTTGTGCCGAAGGCCCTGTTTCTGTGCTGAATAGACTATGACTAACTAAAACCATCAAAGATAGTGGTACACTGCTCCTGAATCCACCTCCTCACACCCTACCTCCCCATTCCCCAATTTCTTCTGATTTACCAGCCTCGGAATTCTAAGAGAAGAAATGCACAAGTGGGATTGTGGTGAGGGGAGGAGGAAAATCAGGAGGTGCACGCATCAGAGGTTCAGAAAAAGAAATGCAACCCAACCTGCAGCTCGGGCGGAAACAAGAAACAGACACTGACTAGTGACATCAAGGTGTTCAGCATTAAACTGGCAGGGGGTTTTGCAGAGAGCTTGGAGCCCATCATCTTCAGTATGGATGTGGTCCAAATTAGGTTTCCTTTGTAAATGTGAGTGCACAAGATGTGGTAAATAGGATTGGCAATCATATGCATATAGCTTTGTGGATATACAATGTCATGGTAATAATGGAAATTTGGCTCAGAAAGGACTGGCCTTTGCGTTAAATATTCCTGGATAGAAAAATGGGGAGAAATGAAAAGAGAAGGAGCTAGCAGCATTGATTAAAGAGAATGTGAGAATGCTGGAGAAAGAGGATGTCCTAGAGGAGTTAACAGAATATATTTGGTTATAGCTAAGAAATAATGGATGCACCATTACTGGGTTTATTCTATAGGCCACCTACAGTGAGAAAGATATGGAGGGATGAATTTCCAAGGAAATTGCAATGCTACTGTAGCATAGTTATAATGAAGGACTTTAATTATCCATGTATAACCTGGAATACTAATGGTGTAAAGGGGAAGAACTTAAGAGCATGTTTAAGAAAAAAGTTCTATATCAGTCTTTACAATGAGAAATTAATTGCTCAAGTCAATTAAATGTCAGTAAAACAACATTTAGAGTACAACAACCACAGATCGTAAGGGTTAGGTTAGCTATGAAAAACACAAGCAGCTATCCAGTAAAAATAATGAATTAGGGGAGGATTAAGTTCAATGGGCTGAGATGGATTGGGCCCACACAAATTGAAATCAAAGGCAGGCAAAACATTAATTGAACTTTTAAAGAGGAGATATCTTGACTGTACTTAAACTATATTCCCCTGAGGGGAATAAGATAGGACAAACAAGTCTCACTTGCAATCCTTCTAGTACCTTTTTTGGTGATTGAGGATTAAAGTCAGCTCACTTAAAAACCACAGCCTCAATGACTTCTCTTAATGAACCATAGAAAAGTTGCGGCCTATCATGTCTGTGCTGGCTGAATAAACTAGCTGCCCATTCTACCATCTACTTACCAGCACCTGGGCCGTAGCCTTGCAGGTTCCAGTGTTTCAGGTACAGATCCAGGTTTCTTTAAAGTGGAAACCATCAACACATTTAAACTACAAACTTGACAGCAGATTCCAGACCCCATCACTCTCTGGGTGAAATGTTTCTCTTATAACCCATTTAATCCCTTTATCAATCAATTTAAGTCTGTGCTCTTGATAATTGACTTTTCCACTAGGGTAAACAGGTTCTTCCTCTTTTCCTGGCCATTGTATCCAAACCACATTGCTGAAGAAACTTTGCAATTTTCATCTTGGTGCAGATGGTGAATGAGTCCAGAATACAACTTTGAAAATCATGACAACTTTCCATCGGGATATCTCTTAATTAAAATTATTTAATTCAATTAATTAGTTAATTTAATTAATTAAAATTGATTTGTTATCTATTTCTTCCCAATTATTGCCTCATGTTCACTGCTCATACCTCTAAATGTCCATGTTTTGATGAATATTTCTACTGAAATTTTAT